ATCCGTGTCAAACGCAAGAGGAGCTTGTAGAATCATTGGGAATTACGCAACAAGCAGTTACCGTACGATCGAAATCCATGGGAATGATTCACAAGCAAGACAATTAGGTGCCTTATGAACAGAAACAGAGAGACGTTGAAAGGCGATTTTTTACTTGCGAGCAGCAGATTCAAAGGCAACAAAGAAAGTTTTTTACATCGAATTGTGACTGGGGATGAGAAATGGATATTCTAAGATAACCCCAAGAAGAAAAAATACTACGCTATGCCCGGTCAATCGTTGCTATCGACCTCAACATTAACACCAAAGCCGAATATTCATGGTTAGAAGATCATGCTGCGAACCTGGTGGGACCAAAAGGGTGTTGTATACGAGGTCTGTTCAAAAAGTATCGCGAATTTTGTGTTTTTTTTTAAATTATTTATTTATTCATAAATATCTATCTTGTCTCCTTCAAAGTAATCCCCATCAGATATTATACACTTGTGCCAACGTTTTTTCCAATCCTCGAAGCACTTCAAAAAATCATTTTTTGTGATCTTGTTCAACTCCTCCTTCGATGCCGTTTTTATCTCCTCAATCGTAGCGTAGCATCGTCCTTTCATGTGCCTCTTCAGTTTTGGGAACAAGAAAAAATCACAGGGGGACAGGTCTAGGGAATACGGTGGCTGCGGCATCATTAGAGTGTTGTTTTTGGCCAAAAATTCGCGCACAAGCAACGATGTGTGAGCAGGGGCGTTATCGGCGACACGTCTCATGCCCACATCATTAGTAAAAATCGAATGGTACGAGACAATCGATATGTTTAAGTCCTCAGCAACTTCTCTAACGGTGATTCGACGATTGGCCAATACTATTTTCTTCTCTTCATCAATGTTTTCGTCTGTTGTTGACGTGCTCGGGCGTCCGGCACGCTCTTCGTCGTTCACATCTTCTCGGCCCTCTGAGAACATTTTGTACCACCGATAAACGTTGCTTCGGTCCAAGGTAGCTTCACCATATGCCACAGTCAACATTCGGAATGAGTCCGCGCACTTAATTTTGTTTTTCACACAAAATTTGATACAGATTCTTTGATCCATTTTTTGGAATAGGCAAAAATCAAAGACGAGCCAAAACACGTCCAAGCAAAACAGCTGTCAAAGATAAACTGAATATTCAAAATGGCCGAACTTGTCGGCATAAGTGAGGGACATGAGTACCAACATAACNAACCTGCGGAAATTCAAAATTTGCGATACTTATTGAACAGACCTCGTATATATGATTATATATAAACATTTTCCTCCCGGAAGAGAGATAAGAGAAAGCTATTTTCGGCAAAAAATTACTTTTATATTATGTCTGCAATTTTCTGTTGGGTTGGCAAATAAGTTCATTCGGTTTTTTAATCGGAGTAGGTTTACTCGTACTGCTATTTCTTTTCCACAGCGCTATCGCACAACGCGCTTGCGCAGCTGAAAAGCGACGTTCCATCTAACCTATTTGTAAACATACGCTGGTTAATACCAGA